TAAAATATAACTAAGGAAATTCTACATAAAAATATACTGTATTTCTCCCTCTAGTAGCAACAACATTAAAAGCATTTGATACTGCAAAATAGAAATCTTTTGAAAATCAGCACAATGGTTTATTGCAGCTGCCTATGATTCTTTTTTAAAAAACGGTTTTATTAAATTAAACTCCTCATGAATTTGATACAACCAAAACAATCAAATATGTGAGCTGTGTGAGAAACACTGTATGTGCTGTAGTACAGGCAATATTGGGAATCCTTTTTTTCATAGATATTGTCATATGGTGTCAGAATTTGTCACTATAGATGTTACATTTAGTGAACTTTCATAATATAAGGTTAATTGCAGAGCAAAACCACACTAGCATATGTAGTATAGTATCATAGTATATGTACATACTATGTTAATACTAGTTCACAACTTTCTTTTCCCAACGTTTTGTCAAACTTACATAGAATCAGTGTAGTAGTTTCCATTTTCTAAGTCAGAAAGTACAGGAAGTGGCAGAGCAGTTAGCGTGAATTGTTAGAACTCACTTGGTACAAACCAAATCCTGACACGACATGGATTTAAATCGTCAACTCAACAATTGCAATCAATCAATTAAATGTATGGCTAAACAAATGAGACATTATATTTTTCAAATTGTACACTGAGGAAATAAACTCATGGTTAGGAATGGCATTTGCTTGCTGGCAGTGTCTCCAGACTGTAAATAAATAAGCATACTTTAGTCAGAATATGCACACTGGGAGAAAGAGATAAAGCAAATATGTGAAGGTAATAAGAGTAAATGAAGAGAAACTGAAATATGAAGCTCAAAACCAGTGTATGTGGAGTGCAAAGACACTGTAAATACAGTAATGGAAAGATGTGCAACTAATGAAATACCAGGCATGGTAACAACCCACTGGTAACAATGGAAAATTTTTGATGCTATAGCCGATTTTTTTTTATTACTCTTCCAAATTATTTCAGTTTTGAGTATTTAATTAAAAATCCATATAATATTAGCAATAAATGGTATTTAGTCCTATCAAGTTTAGTTACTTTGGATTCATGTATTACATGATGCAATACATGTTCTATAAAAGAGCATACGACATGAAAATATGAGAATTGACATGAAAAATATAAAAGAGTATATGACATAGCTAATTCATGTTGAAAATATTCTAGGATGCCCAATTAATAATTTTTTTTTAACAATTGCACAGTGATCAGAACACAGCATCTCAAGGAAAAATGCCAAAATAGAGAGGAGCAACCATGTTTGTCAAACTGAAAGATATTGCTGTTATCTGCCTGGTTCAGCACATTTGATACTAAGATGCCAGTAGCAAAATGCAGATGATAAGCTGTGGGCAAAAACTGAGAGGAGCTGAAAAATGAATAAACAGGACAAATGAGTAAGAAAATGAATAGCTGAATGAGACGAATGCATGAATGACATACTAGCAAAAGAACGAGGTAGAAATAAATGGATGAAAATAAAGGTGAGAAAATAATGGACTATAGGTCAGCAAAAACAGAAAACAGCTGTCATGATTTAGTATTTACTCCAAAAGATGATCTTATGGAACCCTGTGATAAACAATTGCTTGGAACTTCATATATTATGACAGGTGATACCCAAACCTTGTTATGCAGTCTGAGATGAGAAATCACAATTATACTTAATAAAGCAGCAGCCAATCTCAAATGATAGTAATTTACCACATCCCTTAGAGCAAATTTCCTGAATGTAGAAAAACACTTCTATATATCAGTACAATATCACTACAGCAAGGGAAGTCCATATCATTGGTAGTGAATGTCTAGAAACTCTAGTGCCTAAGAGAAAAATCAGGAGGTGCATCTTCTATGTGTGCTTTATGGAAGAAGCATGACTGTTCAGCCAGCCCATGTTTTGTCTCACTAAAAAGCCTTTTTACTACTGGTACCAGGTATCAGGTAAACACAGCATCCTTAGTACACAGCCTGAATAGCTGTGGGTATAATAATAATATAAAGAGTGAAAAACTTTGTCTACATGTAGGATGAAAAGAAGGGGTTCACTTACTTATTATCAGGCAAATTTAAGTTGGGGAAGTATAAAGAAGCATGGATTCATTATGAGGAAAAATAGAATGCAGAAGAATGAATAAAAGATTAGAGCCAACAGAAGAGGTAAAAATGAGGAGGAGAATGAAGCAATTATCAGAAAAATATAAAAGCTAGTAAGTAAGGAGGGCATACAAGGGAGAAGAGGCAGCACAAGAGAAAGATTAAGAAAGTGAGAAAAAAAAGGGAGAGAGAAAAAGCAGAAAAAGACATCATCTGTAGTTACTTTCCAGAATGATATTGCCAAGCAAATTGCCGACTCACATCACATTCCACTTGCAGAAAAATAATTAAAATTTAATATATTAAATTCAAATCAGGATACAGACAGACATCCAAGGTATAATCTACAACTAGAAAAAAAATGTTCTTTTATAAAAGAATGGAAAAAGAAAAGACTATCATCTTACAATGGGCTGAGGGTAACCAATACCAGCTGAACCGGCCTTCACATCATAGGAGTCATACTGAGGAGAAAAACTCTGTAACAGAAATAGAGAGAAATAAAAGAAAAGAAAGAAAAGGTGTTTGCTTTTTATTTCTAAGAATTTTCTCACTTTGATAAGACAAATGAATGGAAATAACTCACACACACTGAGTAGCACCTTTTTAACATATAAGTGCCATAGTTCAAAATCATCCATGAGAGAAACCCTGCTAATATCTTTCCTTTGCAATCATAGTAGTGTTAGCTCCCTACACTGCATGAATTTCCCTCTTACTCTGGCAGCTGAGCCTCAGCTGAGCCAACAAACTACCATTGTTGTTCTTCTCTTCCTTGTTTGACTCCTTCTAAATTTTCCTCTCCTTCCATTTTCTTATCAACCTCTTTTCTATCTAAGTCTCTCAAAGCAGCTGATGAAATATTTTCTTCTGTGACAATGGTTTAAGCTTAAGCAACGTAACAATTTATTACTTCTTTGTTTCTTCCACCTATAGCTAATGAAAGTCTCATTTCAGAGCATTTTGTACCAGAAAGTCTCTCACCTACATATATGTGTCCTTCTGTGAGTTATGGGTAAAACTTTTCACCTCCTAGCTGAGAACACACACATCATTTTCTATCTTTTTTTCCTTTCCCATTCATTATGTCACTCTAGATAAATCAAAAACCTTCATGATTTTTGAGGCCCAGCAACCAAGCATCATTCCTTCCGACAATTCATTTCGAAATTAATAAAAAATCCTTTCAATAGAAAACACGTCCTATGGGGATTTGTGACAGCAGATGGCATTTCTGATATCCTCTTTTATATAAAACAATTTTTAACAAACAAACAAAAAATGCAGATGTTTTTTCAGGAAACTCCTAATTCAGCCTTTCAATTGTCACATTGTGATTTTATTATGCAGATGTTAGGGAAAGGAGATGGTGAACAGCTTGGTGCCCAATTTATACCTATCCACTGTCAGGAAAAAGACTAAATGTATTCTGCTTATATCCTCTGCACAGATTTCACCTGAGACTCAGAACTGCCTAAGACACTCAGCTCTCTATAAAATGTAGTGATGGTCCCTGCTCTTGTATAGCACAAAGGGGCTATTCGTTCTTAGGCGGTGGTTACAGAAATGGGCAAGGAAGTGGTGACCCGGGTTCAGATCCTTTACCTGTGTGAAGGAATTAAATGCATATCATAGACACCCCAGAATGACAACCCAACTGCCCCTTCAGCGAGAACTCATCAGCTCTATTGCTGATGCTGCCCAGCTGTTCAGAAGAGAATTCAAGATCCAGTGGGCCAGAAACAAAATACAAGAAGGAGCACAGTAAATAGGACTTACATGACATTTGTCTACAGGCAGGAGACCTGAGTATCAGTCTAGTCTTCTAGAATGTTTCTTTATTAAATCAGAATAGATAAAATATAGTATATAAGTTCTCTAACCATTAAACTTGAATGGAAATACTTTCTCCTGCATTTTTTTCTCTCTTTTTTTTTAAAGTAACATAAAGTTACATAAGATAAAGTTTTACCAGTATTGGCCACAAAAGTTTTATAGGATGAGACAGATATTTAATTGCACTCCAACTAAACCTTATATAGAAAACAAATAAACGAACAAACAACAGCAACAACAAAAAAAACCCACGTTACTCAGATGTTTTTCAAAGGCACAAATGAGATGGATGTGCCTGAGAGCGAAGTGTTTGAGGAGGTACAAGGGCTAAGTTCGTTACTGCCTTCATAGCAGTGCAAGTATCAGCCCAAGAGAGGCTAATATTTGTACTTTGTGAAAGAGGTGAGATGTCCACTGAATATTGTACTTCACAACATTGCTTTGTGTGCTTCTGAGAAACAACACAGTAGCTGAACATAACAACTACTTACGCCTCCGCTGACACTGGGACATGACTGACAGATCCCTGGGGGACCAGGAGCTCCAGGACTCCCTGGCTGTCCAGGAGGGCCAGGGGCACCATTTCTGCCTGGAGTACCAGGAGAACCCTGCAAAGACACAAATAAAACAAACATTGCCACTTGCTTCTACGTGAAAGCACATGGAGAAGAAATTCTTTCATTCTGGACAAATTATACAAGCCTGTGATAGACAGCCTTCCCCATGCCTTCCTCATTAGACACACCTAAGGTCCTACCTCAACAATTCAAGAGAGGTAAAGAGAGTAGACAAAATTCATACAAGGAAACATGCGTTAGCTGCTGGAGCTTTATTCCTGCTAATATTGCATTGAGCACACTATAAATACTAAACAGGTCAGTTGCTGAATGTGAAATTAACACTACTAATTAATTCCTTACATTCCCAGTCCATGGAGTCCATGGAGAGAATTATTTAAAAAAAAGGTAACAAAGGTAATACACTTTGTACTAAATTCTTCTGTGCTTTTCACAATTCTATTGAAGCTAAAGAGGTTACTTCAAAACAACTGTATGGCACAGTCTGCAGATGGTGCAGACATCAGTGAAAGCAGGATACTTCAGCGAGTTGAATGGAATGTACGACACTATATTAACTGGCTCTGTACATTGTTAGTTTTTTTCAAAAAAAAAAAAAAAAAGGTAGTTGCACTTACAGGATCTCCCTTGGGACCTCGAACAACAGATGGAGTAGTCTAGGAAAAAAAAAAGAAAAAATATTTTAAAAGAAAATCAAAATAAAAAAACAAAACTGAAATTAAATACGTAAGCAAGAGGAAAACATGGTTAAACACTGGAATACAGTTTTAACAAATTAATTCAATTTGCAATTACCACTGCAATATTTCAAAAATCTACATTTTGTGAGATTTTGATGACATAGGATTGCATCTTGGGAACTTCAGTCCTAAAATAAGAACCTTTTATCCCAGAAGCTAAAAAAAAGGCCTTTACGGGGATAAAAGTTTGTATCTATCTGCTGGAGTCAACAAGAGAACTCATACTTCCATCTCTAGTATGCTTATATGTACTGGTCATTAAAGCCTGTGAAAACTCTTCAGTGAACTAAGAGTTCACTTCAGCTTCTTCTGGAAGCACTAAGGTTGCACTAGCACGGTTTGACTGACTCTAGGCCAATTATTTGTATTTGACATCTCACTCTTGAGCAGATAGCAGATGTATATAGCTACAGTATACTGTATGCTACACATCCTTTCCCTTCCTCTTCCACATACACATCTCCGCCTCTCCTTTTTTACACACATGTAGTGTCTCCTCTGCTCATGCACAGGCACACACACACAGATCACTGTTTATATTATTGCTCTGAGATTCTTAATGCTACTGAAAATGGGGATATTAAAATATTGTGAACCTATTGAAATATATATATTTTTAATATAGCCAAAACTTGCAAGCAGTGACAATCTCGCAAGGCCATTCCACTTAAGAATCTTCAATATCCATGAGGGAATCCATATGCCCCTATTGAATCTCAGGGATCTTAAACCAGGATGAAATGTTCAGGTAACCTAAGCATTTCTACAATGTACATGTCATTATAACTAGTTCAAGCCCTGAAGCAATTCAGGTGGTGGAGTCTGGCATGCACTAAAATTCTTTTTTTCTGAGGTTAAGTTGCTGCAACTGCTTTTAGATAACATTGACATCTAAAAACAAGATAATGACAAATTATAGCTGTAGGGTCTGAATCATCTTTCCTTTACTGTAGATTAAGTCAGTAATTACTCCACAAAAGGAAATACATACAATGATGTAGCTGTGAAAACAGCCCGATTTTATTTACCTCTGAGTTAGTATTTGTTTCATGGATATAGATTAAGCATGACTTCAACAAATAAGCTGCTTGCATTTTTCCTGTGCTTTTCCTTAAAATATGTAGTATGTCGACTGCCTTCTGCCTCTTTTTACTGTTTATCTGAAATTATATTTGCCTGTCTTCTAAGTAAAAGTAGGTTGAAGCACTTGAATCTTGATAAAGTGAAATTCGGGTTGTTTTTTATTTGATTTGGCATAATTTGTCCATTCTAAATATTGAAGTCAGAAAGTGAAAAACACAGTTGACTATTTAAATGAAAATTGAACTTACTCTTGGAGCTTCTGTTGTTGTTTGTGGACAAACTGGACAACACTCTCCAAAGGGAATCTCTGGGTTGGGGCAGTCTAACTCTTGATCGTCACAGATGATATCATCACAGAGAACAGATCCAGAATCACACACACAGATCTGGCATGGCTCAGGTTTCCAAACGTCCCTGTCAGCATAAACCTGGCCAAGATGGGTACATGTTTCTGCAGCGACTGGAAGACAGACAGACAAAATAGTGTTTAGTAACAGCTCAAATGGATTTTACAAACAAAGATGCTTTAAATGAAACCCTTGGACAGTGCATTTGGTTTGTACCATAATATGGCTTGTCTGTGTGAAGTAAAAGGCTAAATATTTCTCTTCAAACACAGGCAGGATCTTCTCTATCAATTGCAGAGTCTGCTCTGAATCTGTATGAGATTCCTGTAGACATCAATGGAAACCTCCTGGAGCTGATACAAAGCCCACTTAAATCTGTGGTCTAAATCTCTGCCTAAAGCAATTTTAGCGTGGGCAGAATTACTGTGTAATTAGCAACTGAATTTTCTGCTGCAGTTGAAAAATAAATGTGCCCAAACTCTCAAACAAGTGTGTCATAGACACCCATATGCCAACATGAGCACTAACATATGGATCAGTCTATCAGACAGGCACTTTTGTTGTATTTTGCATTAGTAGATGGAATTTAGTGTTTTCAAAATATTTTTTGAAACCTGGCATATGGAATAAATCTAAAGATATTCACATTTATCATCCAAATGGATTGCAATAAATATGTTATCTGGACTGGTCATATGTTATACCTGTCTGTATTTTGAGAAAAACGTCATTCATCCATAATATTCATGGCACTGTGAATTCCTTCCAACAGCTACATCAGTGATCAAATTTGGTGCAGATAAAGAACTTGAAGAAGATGCTGAAGAACAGCTTCATTAAACTTTGGGGTCATATTCACTTTGAGCAACAAGATTCAGAAAGCTTCAGTCATCCAAAAAAAAAAAAAAAACAACACTACTCATTCTTTCAAAATTAGGTAAATTCCCAGGAAACTTTGTAGAAATTATAAATCTTAGATTAAGAATGTAAGTGTCAGTGAATGTCTTGACTGATGAAATAAGAATTTAAGCATGATGAAATAAGAATTAAGCATTCCAGTGATACAGGAAAATTAGTTCCCTCAGATGTAATTGAAAATTAGAAACGCACTTATTCCTATTGCCATTGCTTCCTGATCCCTTTTGGGATCATCGGGATCTTCAGATTACACCCAAGAGACATGGTGAGGAACTCTGTTATTTCTAGGATAGCATCTTCCTAAAATCTGCCGTGACTCCAGCTCACAGCATCACATGCTGCTTCAGACCACATAGCCTAACAACCACTAGTTCTAAAGAGAAGCATGACACATATTACATGTAAGTACCTAGACACTCTTGATTAGGCAAATATAGTTTATAAAAAGAACTGACTGGTTTCCCACTGCTCACATTCCAGAATCATTTTGCTGGACCCTGGCCAAATAACCTGCTCTTCTGCTTAATTAATTGCTGACTCTGTGAAAAACGTTTTCCTCTTTTAATAAAGTGGCAATTCATGTCAGGCACTTATGAAAAACAAACAGCACAGCCTTGACAAAAGTAATGGCAAAAGCCACCTGATAAACATTTTATATCCCTAAAAATGATGGATGAACTTTATATTTACCATACACAAGACTGAAATGTATTTTAGAAATAAGAATTGCAGCATTATGAATGAAATCTTCTTTATAGTCTCTCTAATCACCCATGAAAGGAACTGAATTATAGTAATTCAGTTACTCAGTTATTCATTTAATAATTCAAAGCAAAAGAGTAAGATGAGTGGTTTGTTGTATAAAGGAAGACTCAGAAAGCATTACACTATGTAAAACAGAACTACTGGGAAGATAAGAACTTGTTATCCATGTAAGAGTCAGAAATATTCGGCTGAGCACTGATGGGCATAGACCCACTACACTCCAGAGCAATATGCTCAGTGGTCACTCCATTCATGTGCTTTGCAGCTCCACAGGTTAAAATTTTCTACTCATTTATAAGCATAACAAGGAAGCAACAAGATAAGAACTTAATATTGTGTGTAAAAGTGTAACATACAGCAGTGTGCTCTTGTGGCCAAGAAGGCCAATGGGATCCTGGGGTGCATTAAGAAGAGCGTCTCCAGCAGGTCAAGGGAGGTGATCCTGCCCCTCTAC